TGCAGTTTTAAGCTTTTTTTTTTAGGTCTGTTCAAGTCTATATTCAGACTGGGTTTAGGTCTCACCACTGTCCAAATATCTTCTTGGCATGTGAGGGACACTGGACATCTTTGTTGGCAGATAACTTATTCATAGGTCTTGTTAATTTGGTTCCAGCCCTTGTTACCTGTAGTCATCTATAATCTATTTTAAAATCCTTTTGGACTAAACATTAGTTCAAAAATGTTTGGTTCTAGCGCATCATCTGAGAAAATAATTCGGGTTTCAGGCGATGAGTTTGCTAAATTCTTTCAATATCATAAATCAGAGAAGGAATTTGCTTCAATTAACTTCTTTGCTAAGTCATAAATCATGTCTCATCACCTCTTCAAATAAATGGATAATTGATTCAGGTACAACAGATCACATGATGGGTAATCCTTACATTTTTCTAGCTTTCAATTACACAAAGCACCCTCTCCGGTTACTGTAGCTGAAAGATCAATTTGTAATAGTCTTGGATCAGGGACTGTTAAACCAACCTCATCTATTACCATGTTATCTGTATTAGGTCTACCAAAATTGGCCTTTAATTTGATTTTTGTTAGTAAACTTACAAGAAACCGCAAGTGTTATATCTCTTTCTTTCCCAGTCATTGTCTGTTTCGTGATCTTACGATAAATCAGGTTATTGGTAAAGGACATGTATCCGATGATCTCTACATCCTTGATGAATGTGAATCTCGATCCGTTGCCTGCTCTAGTGTTGTGTCTCCATTTGAAGCACATTGACGATTGAGTCATCCTTCTTTACCTATGTTGAAGAAACTGTCCTCAGTTTCAAAATATTTCATCATTGGATTGTGAGTCATGTCAATTTGCAAAACACCATCGCATCTCATTAGGTCCAAGGGTTAATAAACGAGTTGAGTCAGCTTTTGAGTTGGTTCATGGGGACCATGTCCTGTTGTTTACAAAACTGGGCATAATCATAAATATAATATATTTAGGGATTTTCTGATTTTGTTTCCATAGATAGATTTGCTTCTGATTTTGTTTCCTTTAGAAAAATTTGCTTCTGATTCTGTTTCCTTAGACTTGCTTGTACACATGTAAATAACTCTCATTCTTTGAATGATACGTGTAGGAAGATTGTTCCATTGTGTATGGTTCTACCTTTATCTGAAGCAACACATTGATGATGAAGCATTTTTTAATTGTTGTAATATAATTACACAATGAATGGTTTGAATGACTAACTTGGGACTTGAATTTGCATGGATTGTCCTATTTTTATGTGCTGGAGATAGTTCTAACTCATGTATCGTCATCCTGAATTATTTGCAGATGTGGACAAAGCTTAATGAAGTTGGCAGTGAAATGATTTCTCTTTCAAGGAGTCTTTCAGAAATATCAAGGGGTTGTTTCCGAGCTCAGGTACGTGGTTTCTTGCTAACACTTGGTTCATTGAGCTGCTTCCGTCTTGTGCACACAATGCTTGTAAAATTGACTATGATTTTAACCTGTTACCTCTTTAGGTGAGCGGTTCAGTGCATGAAAACGCTGAAGATACAAAAGAGGAGGCAAGTCTTCTTTTCCGTCATGCTTTTGTGTTTCCGTTTTAGTGGTAGACTATTGGTAATTTTGGTTGTTCTCTAGTTAGCTTCTTGGAGGAGAAACAGCTTTTGAAAATTGTCGGCCCGGAAATTTTAATTCCTTCACTGTTCTTGTAGCATAAAATTTCTCATTCAATGGTAATACCTCTCAATTCTGGAAATTTGGTTGTGGCAACTGGCAAGTGCATGTCACCAACCAAGTACTTGCAGTTATTCCAGATTTCTTGGGGAACCACTCAGGCAAATAATGTAACCAAGCTCCTAGAAGTGGTATTGGAAGCCCTTTATGGAGAGATACCATCTAAAAAATCTCTTTATGGGGATATATAGGTACCTTCCATATATAGTATTTACTGGAACCGAGGGTGTATGACCTACTGTCAGTGAAGTGGGTGCATACCTTAGATACCAAGATTCAAATCCCAGCAGCACCAAAATTACATTAGGTGATTTCTTTCCATTCGTTTAAGCGTTGGTGCTGAGTGTACCTGTGCTAGTTTAAGGTAGTACCTAATGGAATAGTCGAGGTGTGTGCAACTGGCTTGATCACCACCATTTTAAAGAAAAAGCTTGTCGTATACTTATTTTGCTTTTGGTTTCAAACCTTGAGTTCCACATCATTGGAATTATCTCTTAGTTTTAATATGAAAGTATAAAGTAAAAAATTCTTGCTTTTGGCTGGACTCAGTGCTGCAACTTGATATCTACTTTATGAAACCCACAAAGTAAAAAATCGCAAAAAATCTGAGGGATTGCCTTGGTTTCGTATTTTATTTCTTTCTACAACTTGAAACTGCAGATATATTTAATTATAAAAATTCAAGTTTACTATGTTTTCTTTTCTTTTTGATGTTGACAGTTAGTTGCTAAAATGGAACAAGCAGAGACCTATGGTGTAGATAAAAGATGTGCTTGCCAATGTTGTGGAGAGAAAGCGGATGGTGGGGATAGTTTAGCTTGTGATTCATGCGAGGAGATTTATCATCTCTCTTGTGTTGAGCCTACTGTTACAGAAATTCCCATAAGAAGTTGGTATTGTGCCAAATGCACTGCCAAAGGAATGGAATCACCCCATGACAACTGTGTAGTATGCGAAAGACTCACCACGTCTAGCTCAGTGATAATTGAAAATGAGGTTGAAGACCTTACATCTGAAGATATGGTTCTAGAATTGGAGGATAGCACGAATGGTTTAGTGGATGGTGAACTTAAACTCTGTGAAGGAGTTGAGGATTCGCCCTGTTGCAACGTATGTAGAACTGTGGTAAGTAATGACAATGTTAGAATATGTGGTCATTCCTTCTGCCCTCACAAGTTTTACCATGAGAGGTGCTTGACCAGAAAGCAGTTGGATGCTTCTGGCTCCTGCTGGTACTGCCCCTCGTGTCTGTGTAGAGCTTGCCTGAATGATTGTGATGATGACAAAATCGTACTTTGTGACGGCTGCGATCATGCTTATCATATTTTCTGCATGCAACCACCACACACTTCAATTCCTGTAGGGAAATGGTTTTGCAAAAAATGTGATGTGCAGATACAGCGCATACGCAAAGCAAGAAGGGCATTTGAGTCTTCGCAAAATGAAGCGAAGAAGAGAAAAGAACAATGTGGAGAATTAGGTGTACCAAAAGGTAAGGATGAGGAAGCTTTAAATGAATCTGGAGGTATGGAAATGCTTCTAGATGCTGCCAAAACTCTGAACTACCAGGAGGATTTAGCTGCTTTAGGATCAAAAGACTGATAGGACTCAATTATTGCATGAATTATGGTAGCTCTGTATATGAAGGATGTGGTTTGGTTCCAGTTGACAGTGGTACATGACCTGTTTACCGGTGGTTTGGCCTGTAAGGAAGATACTAGTGGCGAACTTTCAGATTTGGTAGCATACAATTTCTTGTCTAACTGAGTCCTTACAAGCCATGCCTGTAGTGTTTCAGATTGTATTTTCTAGTACATATTGCTTCTTGGGGTTATCAGCAACTGCTGTTCCATGTGGTTGTAAAATGAGAGAAGGGCATATGGATTAACTGACTTTCTGAATGTCAAAGGGAATTTCTCTATCCTGCTTTGTTGTTTATGACATATGTTTAGGGCTAGCAAACAGGGCAGTTTCAGGGCAAACCCATGTAAACCTGGGAATTTCTCTATCCTGATTTGTTGTTTATGCCCTTTGTTTAGTGATAGCAAACAGGGCGGTTTCAGGGCAAACCCGTTTAAACCTGTGAAGACTTCAACCCGTTCCCCTCCTGCCCCCCATATTTTGCTATTTTAAAAAAAATATAAAATGATAACAGAAACTTCAAACTACAGTTGGTTTTCCAACTGGCGTCCTCTTTATCATATAGTGACAGGTAAATATTCATGGCGTTATTTTCTTTACTCATGCATGTGTTGTTATGTGTATAGTTCTAATTTGTTGTGTGAATATATTTTTTGAGATTGAGAAAGAAAGAGATAAGTTTTAGGTCCATCAAGAATGAAGTGAAGAATGGTAAGATTGAGCTGTTGATGTCGTAAATATTTTAAACGTCTTTGTACAAAGTTAACAAGGTATTTTCCATTTTTTTTTATAACCTGTATATACTTGCACATATTTTCACACTTTATTTGATCAAATTCTCTGTAAATTTCTGCTCTCTGTACTATACACTTGATCAATTCTTTTAGTGGTTGTTTGGTACATGAGATAAGATGGGATATCTTAAAGTTAAACATCGGATACAATTTATATTTATACGATATGAATTAATACATTCTACCAAATGTAGTATAAATTTTATTCCAAGTTTAATTGTGAGTATCCCATTCCATCCAACTTAGATTCCTTGGTTTCTTAATATTTTTTTGTTCAAATCTTATTTTTTCATATTTTTCCTTCAATATCTTAAGAACATAGATCCATAACTCGCCTTGTCCCACATTTTTTCTATCATTTGAACCCACCCTGTCCCGCCTAGTTGTAAACCCGCCCAACGTAGCTATCACTACATTTGTTGCATCGACTGTATGGAGTTAAATAGGGATCAGCATTATCTTGGCTTGTTGTAAATCAAGTTACACGCGGACGGCTAAGCTATCAGTCTTATTTTATGTTGATGCTTCACTGAACTCTACGCCAACAAGTGTTCAGAATGCTCCATTTAAAAAGTATATGTTATACCTTTGATCATTCACCTCTAATGTGACATGTTTCTTCCTAGTTATAGGGTCAACGGGATCAGTCAGCTAGAGTGCTAGGCTATTCTTCTTTTGGGGAGACAAAGTCGTTCCTTCTACTAACCGAACCCTCAATTTAGGGGCATCTGTCAATATGTTACAAGACTCCAGTCTTCGATGGGTCACCATTACTCAACTTAGAAAGGCAAACATCTTGGCAAGGGAAAGCACAGTGCGCTTGGTGCAAATGGAAGAAAAGTGTTTTTTATAACATATATTTTAGCGTTTGATACATCAGCAGAAACATGTTGTCCTAACAGCATCTCTATGTAATCTAGAAAAAAATTATGAAAGGTGGGATGGCTAGGAGTGGTGGCTGGGTACCATTGGGTGTGAAACAAATTCTTTCACTGGTCGATACAAATCAGATGCACTTTTTGAACGTAAAAAACGTCATTCACTTGATTTGCACAGCAGAACGTGTAGATATATATTACTAATCAGAATAATCAAACAAACATAGCTATGAAGTAACTCTATGTTAGAGGCCATAGAGGATCATCTATATCACAAGTAGACATTTCATTGCCCAGGCATCATGTTTTATCATTGTCAACCCTTCTGGCTATTTTCTCTCCTCACTGATATGCACACCTACACCTCTTTCTATAGCTGAACCAGCATTTTGAAACCTTGACTCGAAGTCAAATGTGACAGAAGATATTCCCTAGCCTCAGGATTTTATCGGAACAAAGCATCATATGTAATGAGATTAACCCTACGTTTCAAACCTTCAAGTGCTCTCAGTTTTGTCCACTACAGCAAAACGGTTTTGGTTCATGCTCAAACCTGATGTCTGTAACTGTTTTCTCCTCTGAATATGATGCAAAGCAGCTTGTCGATCATTACGAGCCTCAGCAGAGTCTGGCTGCAAAACAAGTCCGATTTATGGTGCGTAAGTGGTTTACTGAACATGTGAGAATCAATTACAAAGGCAATCAATCTGACACACTTGGCACAATATTCCACTGAACATTTCAGAACTAGGATGTGATAGAAGCAAGATGAATAGAGTTAGACAATTGCTTAAATCTCAAAAGACAGTTTGTCCTCCAGATACAAAGGTAGTAATATTGACCTTTGGTATTGGCGTAATACATTAAAAGCAAAGAATATCCATTTACTCATAAAGGAAACATCTCAGTTAAAAAAGATCCTCAGAAGAAGCAAGCGTGAGCATTAGTTATAAATTTAATCTATACCTTGATGGCTAGTGCTCTGTCTAAGCTTTCTATAGCACTGTCAGGCTCACCATAATTCAGCTGTGCTCTACCAAGGGTGACCCACGCCTGCAACAGACAGAAGAACTAGCAATAAGCACTGGAATAAAGTAGTGTACATTCTAGTGATAGTAGAAATTGACCGTTCCCTAAGAACCAGAAGCTTGCAGTCAACTGCCTTTTAGTCTAAGCTTCATTTTCCAAAGCTGTAAATAGTTTGGATTATGGAAACGGAATAGAAAAAGAGAGTGCCTTTTGCTTGATCATTCCATCAAGCTCTCTAAGCTTAACTATGCACGCAAGTATGACCAGGAAGTTCAAAGTGCAAAGCTGCTTCTATCATGAGGTAGCTTGTCGGTACACCACTAATTACCTATCTTAACCTCTAAAGCCAGTAATTTATTACCAAGTGAAGACATAGAAGCATTGAATTTGCCTAGTCTAGGGAATAGATGCAGGAAGAGGTAGAACAGAAAGGAAGTAACATGCACATTGGGGTGAACAATTAAGGCTGAAATCCAGAGGACTTTGCACATGAAAACTAGCCCATGACACTTATAGCCAGTTGAAGTTTGACAAATTAGTCTTAGAAGTATTGAAACTGAATAGATCACAGATAAAAAATATGTTACATTGTTCATCAGGATCCCCCATGATATTAAGCAAGGATGGTGAGGGTTCCCAATTATTGCAGTGCACTAAGAGTTGCGTTTACATCCCTAAAGCAGGTATATTAACAACAGGTGAAACAATAGTAAAACTGAATGATCAACAGTTTCACACACCTCACCCCAGCTTGGTTCCAACTCAGTTGCACCTGCTCAAACAGGAAGCAGGTTTCATATGAGTCATGAAATATATCATCTGAAGTTATTTTATACACAAACACAGATCAATGACTTAAGAGGGCATTAGTGACCATGAAAGTAGGCTAAAATCCATCTTTGAATATCTATATGCCAGATATAGATTTACAAGTGGAAGAATGTGTAAAAGAAAAATCTTCCAATGCCAAGGAAAAGATAAGTAAAAAATAAACTTCGTCTTGCTCTAGGTTCCCACATTCGGCTGTTATCAAGATCATAATTGAAATGATATATTTGCCAGATTTGTCCATAACCTTAAAGATGAGTCAAAAGTAGGCACTAAGAAGCTTCAGAGCATAAAAGTAGGTGCATTACCTTTCATGAGATATAACATTGAAAATAAATCCAAGTAAAATATGTTTGTGAATTGACTCTCAGCATAATTTGCTCAGGAAATGAGGAGAATTTCATTCGAATTAATGTGAGTGTCAAAACATACGAGTAGCAGCTTGCAGCGCCTTCCATGTTTCTCCAAGTTCAAGCAAAATTTGAGCCTTCTGTTCATGCAGAATGGCACGATCTGGCATCAAAAGTAGAGCAGATTCCCACTTTCCAAGTGCTTCACGATATTTCCCTTCCTTCAAAAAAAAGAAAAGAAAAGAAAAGAAAAGAGACTTAACCCCGGCTTCTGGATCATGCTGTTGGAATTTGGAAATGATATCAACAATCAATAAAGTGTTCGAAATCACTCATCCAAAAAAAATATTCCTCGAGGACTCAATGAGGGTTTGAGTGACCAAATGTGGTAAGAGTCTCACACCCTTATCCAGAGATAAAAAAGATCCTTGCAACATAGATATTGAGGTTTGCAAAAGAGGTCATGTGTGCATAGCCTCACTCTCTGAACCGCAACCAGGCCATCTGCAAGAGAACTTCTGACATCCAACTCACCTCAACATATACTGTTTTTAGAAATAAACTGGTAATGCAGTATTCCTCAGCATTTAGGATATGTTGGAGACCTCCAAAAAAGGTTCTCACCTCAACATATACTTACTTACCAATGTGTTCTCTTGTTAGTGTAATTTTTGGTACTAAAAATCTGTATATAGCCTTAACTTTTTATTCTATGCGGAGGCTATTTTAAGGCTTCTTTTCAACTTCAGAGCCACCATAAATAAAGTTAGCATTGTGTTTAGCCTCAGCTATCAGTATTAATGCAAAATGTAGTACAACCTTACCTTTATAAGCAACTGTATTAAGTCTTACTTTCTGCAGTAGATTTACCGTTGTGCTTAGCGTTGCCTTAAAGTATCATGCAAAATATACTTCATATTGAGGTCATTTCACACTCAACTTACCATCGCGCTAAAGCTCATCTTTAAGATAAGAGTATGAAACATCACTAAATCCCCCTTCCTCCTCAAAAAAATGTGTTAGTTAACATGACAAGCAGCTGTGCATATTCTTACTTTCTACAATACAAAGAAGCTAGTTTCAAGACTCAACTCTTCACTTCAGTTCATCCTCTTACAGTTAACTTACAGCAACTTTGACGCCCGACAAGTGGTGGTGCAAACTGCAGTACAACCATTTGGCAAATAGCCTTCCTATTCACATAGCAAGGTAACTATTTGAAAGACTGAACTTTTGACCTCCAACTCACAACTCCAAACTTTAATGACACAATTAATTTCTAAGGGGTTGTTTGGTTTGCAAATACGTTAACCCAGGATTATAATATATATACACTTCTTTTTGTAGATGTTTGATTCATTGAGAGCATAATATAAAACATGGGATTGATTTTACAATAGACAAACTTTTATTAACAATTTTAACCCTGGCACTCTTAAAAAACTTTGGGAAAGAGCTTTTGCGAATAACATTTTTGTCATTTGATTGCTTTGTCCCGAACATCTAATCCCTGGATTGTTATCTCGCATCGAACGTCATTTAAAAATAATACTAAAACGTGGTACAACTAATCTGAGAAATGCTTATACCAAAAACAACCAAACAGGGGATTAAATAATCCTGCATTGAGTGCATTCTATCCCTGGATTTTTTTTTTTTTTATCCCATGAGCCAAATGACTCCTAATATTTTTTTTGGGTGTAATAAGGTTTACAAATCTGGAGTCAGGGCATGCACCAGCCCTCAACAAAGAGTTACCCTGGGTTTATATAATGCCCAACAAAATGAATTGTTGGCAGCAGGAAACGATATAGGCCTTTCAGGAGACAACATGCGATCCTTACCTATAAATCATTTGTCTTGATTATCGTTACATGTAAGAAGTTCAATGATCAAACACAAGATGCTCGATTTACCTCAAGAGACATAAATTGCTACATTAAAATATTCACCTACTTACTTACAATGACTTCTTCCTCCTAAGAGCTTACTGAAGCAAAAAGTAATATGTTGAAATCTTATTCATCCCAAAAGAAGAGGAAACAAGGACAAACATATGGAAGAAAACAAGCTATCTAGTTAAATATGTAAATCCAATACACGTCTATCAATAGAACAACTACTTTAATTAAGTTCAGTAATCAGATGAAATAAAAACCTCCCTAATACTAACAACACGCCCAGCCTGCCTTATTCTGGAGTTCCTTAGAAGATATAGAGTTACTACTGATGTGAAGTAAGAAGAGGAAAAAGGAAGAAGAAAAGAGAAAGAGGAAGTGACAGAGAAATAGAGATTAAGAGAGACAATGATGGAAAGAAGGGAATAAAAAGGTGGGACGACAATGCACCCAAGGGTTGAGGAGCCAACAAAGACCATGGTATATGCGGTTTTAATGAAGCCGAGGCAAAAAGTTTGGTGATTCCTTTCCATTTGCTTAAACCTCGACGAACAACATTAATATGTATGAATGTAGGGATCAGTCCAATACTCGAAATGCATGAACATTAGTCCAGACACCACTATTACCTCAGGCTAACCATAATACCAACTTAATTCCTAAATACTCAAGTAAATGAAGGCTAAATAAGAATGATAAACAACTTAGAACTATTGAAATTACTAATACTCCTTTAGAACAACACTAGAAAAAACATAACATAATCTTTTACTTTATTTCCAACTAATAAATATAGATACTAAACAATATCAAGTGATAACCATACCATCTAACAGCAATTTGCTAAAACTAATCAACAATCTATTTTTAAAAAAAAAATTTATGCTCATATAATAGAAAGAACAAACAACAACTGTAAATTATACGCACTGAATAACCTCATACAGATTGAAAAGGAGAAAAATTAAATAAAATACAGAAAAAAGAAGAGAAACCCATGTGAGGAAATACCTCAGCAAGCTTATTTCCTTGTTGTTGAAAGGACTCAACAAGCTTGAATGTATCGTTATCATCATCTCCTTTAACATTAGAAATCTCTTCGTTTTTAGGAAGTTTTTCCTCGGGAAAAATGGAATCGTCAGTAGGATCGAAAGGGAGGTTTTCGAATTGGGAAATAGGTCTCTTGTTAGGGTTCTTCTTGCTCTGATTCTTCCATGTCATCTTCATCTTCTTCTTCGAGCTGTTTCACTGTTTTGGTTACCACCTGAATCAAAAGGTTAATTTCAAACAACTTTTATCTCTATAGCAAAAAGACTCCCTCACTGAAACTTTGACATAATAATTTATGTTTATGAGATAACATTATTTCATTCTAATTTACCTGATATCTTTTTAATTTCAAAATTTAAACCAGTGTTAACTTTTTAAAATTATTAATTATTGTACCTAAATTTATGATCGAAGTTAAATTATTTTACTTTGAAGATTCAAAAGAAGAAGATTTATTTGGGGTCAAATTAAAGGAATGGAATTTTAAATATTTATCATATTAAAGATATGGAATTTTAATCATTTTTAGGGAAACTTAAAAAGATGTACTTTTTTCATATTTAATTAACAATTTTACCAATTATATAACGTATTTTTTTACCCATTATAATATAAAACTATCATGATGGGTAGATTTTATCGTTTTTATAGGTAAAATTTATAGAAAAACAATATGTGCTTGTTCAGATTTTTAGATTGGAAGCAAAAGTTTATCATAAAAAATAAAGCTATCAATTTGATGAGGGAAAATGACCAAAATATCTTTACTTTTCAATTTAATGACAAATAACCAGACATATAAAAAAATATCAAAAAGTAATAGTTAAAGTTTGATATTTTTTAAATTAATAAATATTTGATATATATAAATTAAAATATTGAGAAGTTGGTGAGAGTGTTTAAGCTTCGTGGTAGTTCAATAATTTTCATCAACCAAATTACTATTTACTACTATTACATTGCATTATTGACGTTAAAAAGTAGTTCTTTGAAATATTTGTCAATAAATTCATATTACTTCAATGACAAATACAATTTTGTGCTATGTATATTTTTAATGAAAATTATAATTCACGCTCTTAATTATGGATATACATCACACATATTTTCAATTTATTGACATTAATGTTTCATAAGTTCAGTCAATAACTAGAAGTATTTAAATTTTTTATTAAGTGTAGTGTTCAATTGGTAAAGTCATGAAAAAAAATGTCTAATTAATAATCTGTGTCAAATATAAAAATTTCTCAAATCATTCAGCTTAATAAAATAAAAAACAAGATAACAGAACAATAACAATGACAAAGAGATATATATGCTTTTAAGAAACACAAATAATCCACAAAAATTTACAATGAATTCCCTATATGCCTTACCTACACAAAAAAAAAATAAAAAAAAATAGACAAAACAAAATATCAAAACACGGTAAACGAATTAAAAATAAAATTTAAGAAGAATTGGCCCACACGCTTATTACATTAATTAAAAAATTTACGTATTATTTCTCTAATACCATCAATACACATTTTAAAACACATTAAGCCTAATATTTGAGCTCGAGATATTTTTTCATGTAAAAATTATGATAGGGACATTTTTGTTTTATGAAAACTACGATCTACATATATATATATATA